GGAAGAGCAGGCTGGGGGCCCCCTCCCTGCCAAGAAGCTGGAGAGCAGCGCAGTGATCAGTCTCTTTTATTGACAAAAGGAAGAGCAACTGTACAAAAGGGTTCACAGCAGAGACCGGCCAGCGTGTACTCCCTTTCCCCAGTGTGCTCTCCAGCTTCCAGGATCGGTTTTCCAGGACCCAGCACCCTGTGGTCTGACCCAGCAGCCCTTCTGCCTGCAGCCAGGGCTTTCTGTGGGCCCTGAGCCTGGCTCTTTCCCCTTCTCCCTGGGGCAGCTGAGAGGGAGGGAGACCAGGCAGGAGGACAAAGGTCTGCTGAACACAGCTCCTAACAAACCTTCCTGGGTGAAGGGGCAGCACAGGTCTGTCCAATACCTGCCTTCATCTCTCCTAGAGGAGGCTTAAAATACAGAGCTGGGGCAACTGAGAGCTGTGCTCCGCTCTGGTGAGGGACAGCCTGAGCTGGTTATTCTCACTGGTGTGCGCCATGCTGGCACTCCCCATTCTCTCCCCCACCTCACTGGGGAGAGGGAGGGAGTGAGTGGCTGTGTGGGGCTCTGTTGCTTGCTGGGGTTAAACCACAAGAAACATCTCCTGGGATGACTTGTCCACGCTGGTGGGCGAGAGGGCCACCTCACTTGCTCAGCCCCGTTCATACCCTGTAAGGCTGTGGTGAAGGTGTGGGGCCATGCCCTGTGCTGCACGTTCCCACTCACCAGGAGGTAAGAGCCGTGCTTGTGCCTCCATCCCAAGGGAGATTTCATCCCTGAACTAGGGGAGGCAGCTGCCCTCTCCCTGTGGCAGAGAGCAGAGCCTGCTGCTCATGTTCCCTGAGGGCAGCCATGCCATGGCTCAACCCCAAACCTCATAGGGTGCAGCAAACATCCCAGGGCCAGCAGCAAGTTTGAGCTCCAGAGCTCCAGCCCGGCCACCTCCATCCTCATGCCATGATTCCTCAAGAGCAGCCGTGCCAGGGGTGGGGGGCTGTGTGCCCCCCACGCAGACTCAGGGCTGGGACAGCAGGGTGACCAGCAGGCTCTTCACGTGGAGGACGCTGGTGGCAGTGCTCAGGCTGGCCCAGGTTGCGCTGGTGGGCAGGAGGAAGAGCTCCCGCTGCCCGCTGAGCGCGTGCAGGGCCAGCTCCTCCCGCAGCTCTGCCGTGCTCAGGGCATCGCTCTTGTCCTGCGAGGGAGAGAGGCAGTCACTCAGGAGGGGAGCAGCGCCAGAAGCTGCGCTGGTGGCTGGCAGGGGCCCCGTCCTGCCTGTGCGGTCCTGGCAGAGATCGTGCACAGGCAGGGCTGCCTCGCGCTTGCACTGGAGTTGCTTTGGCACAAGATAGTGGGAAGCAGCACCAAGCACACACTTGGTCGCCTGCCTGGGGAATGTATTTCCTCTTGGGAACTGTGCATGCTGCTGCCTTGGTGCTCTGAAACTAATAAGCTGGGGCACTGGTAGTAACAGCCGCACCTCCTGATGAAGAGGAGATAGGCCCCGAGAAATAAGATTTTGCAAGATCTGGTGGATTTGGGGTATTAGGATTTCCCCTTTGGGCCCTGGGGAGGGTCAGTTTTGCTGGAAACAGCCCCGGGGGGCAGCTGTAGTGACAGATGGATGGATGGACACCCACCTGCTTGTTGGCCAGCACAACCAGGGGCAGCCGAGGCTCTGCAGCCAGCAGTGCGTGCAGCTCCTGGCGCGCTGTCAGCAGGCGTGACCTGTCCACCGAGTCCACCACGAACACCAGCACGTGGGCCTGGCTCAGGTAGTGAGGCCAGTACGCTCGCAGGTTCTGGCTGCCGCCCACTACGGGAGACGGGGCAGGATCAGGCACCGGCGTTGGGGTGAGTGGGGCTGCCACCTCCTGGGGAACCAGACTTCCCATCGCCTGGTGCTCTGCACCCCCCAGCCCAGTGCCACGCAGACCCAGCCCTAGGGGATGCAGGGAGGCCAGGCCAGTCTTACCCTCCAGCAGGTCCATCTCCAGCCCCTCGACGTAGAGCTGGGCAGAATTGAAGCCATGTGTGGGTGCAATGCGGTCCCTGGCTGTCTGGCTGCAGATGTAGTGCAGGACGCTGCTCTTGCC